CACGAAATATTACTACCTTGCAACAATTCAAACCCTGAGTCATAACTCATTGAACTGCTAGAAGTTCTAATAGATTGACATGAAGAGAAGTTTGAATTCCATATGCTCTATACAAGCACCACAGCCCTGGAGAAAAGCATCTGTGAAAAGATGTATCTCTGGATGTTGGGGTAGTAAAGGAACATTGACTATCTTGTTTTCCTTGTCCAACCACCAGCTGAGATCTTGCAAACTGGAAGCCAAAAGGACTACTGGACAATCCACTGCATCTGTGCAAATGTTCCTGTAATGACCATTGAGGGGTCCACATGTGAGCTTGACCTAAAGGAAAGAATGATTCCAAGGATGCCCACATCCTTAAAAGAGAGCGAACTGCATGCACTGGTGGAGAAAGAGACAACTGTATTTGAAGAATTACCTGTTCCATGGCCTGAAGGCATAAAGAAGAAGGTTGAGACCAACTGAGTCTGGAATTGAAAAACACCCCTGAATGGACGAGATGCCATGTGGGAGTAAGAATAGGCTTCTCCTATTTAATAAGAAACCCAGCTCTCACAGCTTCTGATAACAGAGTTTGAGTGTGATGTTCTATCAAATGGTGGGAAGAGGCAAGAAGAAGCCAGCTGTCCATGTAATGGCGAATGTGAATGCCCACTGAGTGAAAATGAAGTGAAAAGGACATGACAATCTAGCAAAAAATGTATGGGGCAGATGCAAGGCCAAATGGAAGAGCACAAAAATTAAAAACCTGGTTATTGTGCATGAAGCAGAGATAATGCTGTGAAGATTTCTTGATTGGAATATGAAGGTAGATATAAGCAACATTTTGTCATCCATAGACCAGGTGAAAAGAGCCACCAAAAAAGAAATGGCTTTATTATAAACCAGAAGGCTGGAGAACGCGATTGAGATGAAAAAGGTCTGTAATTGCTGTCTTTTTCGGTACTACATAGAGCCTGGAATAAAAACCCTTGAGAGAGGAGCAGACACACTGTATGGCCTATTTGTGCAGAAGATCCTTGATGGCTTGAGCTCGATATCTTGAGGTAAGAGAGTCCTTGGAGATTAAAAAACCAACTGGTATGAAAGTTAATGGAGGAGGAGACATGAACTGAATGACCAATCCTCTCCTGAGAACTTGAATGACCCACTGACCTGTGGTGAAGGTCTCCTATACTGACACAAACCCTCTGAGTTGAGGTTCTACAGGACCTGACCCTATAAGGTAGTCACTGATGCTGTAGAATATGCTCTACGCTAGAGGAGGATACCTGCTGGTAAGGACAGAATCGCCCTTGTGTTCCAATGTATCATGGTGAGATTTAGGAAACCATCCTGTAGAATGCCTATGGGACAGTTGAGAAGCTAGGGTAGAAAGGAAAGACTGGAGGACATCCACTTGAAATTTCATAGAATTGGGAATACCAGCAAAAACAGACTGTCTTAGAAAATGAGTTTCTCTGAGGGGTGAAGCAGGAAGGCGAATTCCCTCCAACAAGACATCTCTCTCCAAAAGATCTCAACAACAAACCAACCAAGATACTAAGGAGAGAGTAGATGCCAATAACCCGATAAAAGTAGAAGTCAATAAATGACTAAGGTCATCCAAAAATTGTGCAGGAGATCTATGATAAGCCTCAGACAACAGATACAAAGACGATAAAAATGCAAAACTGTGTAAGTGACAGATGAATTCTGATAAACTGAAATTGATTAATAAGAACTGTGGCATCTTGTTTAGAGCCTTAGAAAGGAAGAAGAGGATCTAACCTCTGAGAGTCCAAATAAGGTTTCTCCAGGCAGTAGAAAGTCAAGGAATACTGATTCAATAAACAAGAAGGACAAGGTATGGCAGCATCCTCTCTCAATTGATCAGCAAATCTCTTTTCATGCACAACATTCAATACTTTCTTGATCATTTTATTTCAAAAATCATGCTTGAAGATACTGAAAATGAATTAAAATGGGAAACAGTTCTCATTTATACCTTAGAAACAGAGAGAATTAACAAGACATACTATCAAAATGCAACATTTCTAATAAGTATACATTATCATTCACAACACATGTCAGAAAAGGTCTGGACTGGCTGTAAAGAAACAAAAGAAACATTTAAATTTGTTACCATATACTACATGCACCCTAACTTCTAGATAAATTTCTAGGAAAAAAAAATGTATATTATATTTAGAAAATAAAAGTAAATTAAAATACAGTGTTCCCAGGATCATTTTTACCAACAACTAAACTACAAACTACTGTTTCACCTATAGACTGCACAGATCAAGAAATACTTAGTAATCTGAATATTTAGGCAGAAAGAATGATCTAATTATTTTTTCTTGTTAATGGATGCATAAAAAATCATACTGACAGCTATGCCAATAATTTCTCTCCTGTATCCACTTTTACTAATTGGTAATGCTATGGAAGATTTGCAGTTAAATTCTGTCAATACTGAAATTTAGTATGTTATATTAAAACGATTTCAGAGCCTCACCACACTGTTACAGTCCATATCACCCTGTCCAGTCATGCTCAAACTGAAGACCATACATCTGGACAATAACTACAACTGCAAAAGGCTCAGTCAAAAGGCTGTCATGACAAAGCATACCATTCTTCCATACAGAATTTTCATAATCTATCTTGTGTACAAGAATGATGGTTCCCAGTGTGCATTTTAACAAATTGTTATCACAGAAATCCATAAGTTCTATATCCAGCAACTTGACTGGTATATCTTTATATGGAATAACATGAATACCCATTTCGTTCTCCAGCTGTTTCAGCTATGCAATGGTTGAGCAGGTATGTCATGGAAGCAACTGGTGTACATGTGACTAATGTCATTTTTCAATATTTAAATCCCTCTTAATTATGTTGCATATTGTTGTCTGGGACATGTAAATGGCTTTTTGCCACTGATCTTTGTGTTCATAGATTTCCACTTGTTACAAAATGCAGCAACTTACTTACCAAGACTGGGGTATAATTTGTTACAGGTCTCTTTCTGGATGTTTCTGGCATCCCAAGTTGATCCCTATTCCTTTGTTTCCAATTCCATTAAATGCAAAGATATCCCCAGTTTGAAAGTTCCAAATCCATGATCTGAACACATCTGTCTTTATAATCTAGTTGTATGCATAATGTGTGTTGGAAAGAGCTGTTACAATACCATCCCTTCAAAAAAAGTTTTGATGGCATCATACTAAATAAAAAATGCCAAATAATGTCAAAATGAAGTTTTGACACATGCCATTCCACTGGGACTTTATATAGAATCTGGTAGCTATGTTACTTGCTGATCTGTGTATTCAAAATTGTTTCAATATAATATACATAACCCTCTGTATACTTAATTTTTCAAGAATTAAAACTGCAAAATGAGCAAAACAAAAATATTAAATGTTATTACAAACTAGACAGTCTCAATCTGTTTTTTTCATTTTGAAGTAGTAAAAAAGTGTGTGTTCAAACATTCTACACCAAACATTAACTGAAGTCCCAATAAATGTCATTATGTCAATGTTGGCGACACAATTATTTTTCATTTACAGAAATTACAGCCACTTTTTATGAAAGCATGACTTTTTCACTTTACCAGTTAACAGATGTAAAATTCAGTCAAATAATCTTCTGTTGTATTTTTTTATTATTTTGTTGAAGATCATTTTACAAAACTCAAGCTCTTGATGAAATGTGTGTTCATTATCAAAACTGTAGAGCTGGTTCACTCGAAAATGAATATTTTTTATAAAAAGTAATGTATCAAAACACAAAAATGGAATGTAAAGGAAAATATACTATCAAACCCATGTAGAGACCATACTTCATCAGCTTTAGCATTATGTAACTAGAGAAACTGTTTAAGCTCAAGTAGTAATATTTGATATTCCAAACAGTTTTTAAAGTGTTTGTTAATGCTGCAAAGTACCTAACAAACGTTGTTTCCATTCATTATTTCCATAATTCAACAACCTGGTGGCAAACTGTATCTTCTGCTCAAACTGAGTAATTTATCAAAATCCTATAAACATTTATTTAATGGATGTAACTTATTGTGCTATCTTTAAGTCTGTGCTATCTATGGCTGGAATTAAACAATCAATAAATTGTGGACATTTCTTCTATGGTTGTAACTTGAATGATGCAAACTATCAATACATTATAGTTTTAAATCACTGCGCCATCATTCCATTCCAGTTGTGTCGTGGTATGTAAACATATCATGCATTTCCACCTTCTAATATTAACATAATAATATTCTGAATATATTCATTTATTCTGTATACATGTACAGATCTTAAATAGCATTTGGTCAAAAAATTGCTAAGTTGATTTAGTTCTAGCTGGTTTTTTTTCTTTGTTATTCTCAGGAGACAGTACTTATTCTGCCTATGGGAGTTATTGCAGTAATGCTGCATGTTGTGCAAGAATGTCCGTAACACTTTTCTTCAGTGGCAAAATAGGTGGTGTTTCAAGGTTATGGTCTCATGTAGGTTGTGCTAGTCACACAAATACAACATTTCTCATGAAGTAAAGAACATCGAATTTAAACAGTCTAGTACATAATCTCGAAGAATAAGTAGTCTAAAGGAAGATCCAGTAAAAGTAACAGTTCAGGATCCAAAGCAAGTACACACACAGTGTTTTCCTGTGTTTTGATAATGATTCTTCATTTTGTATTATAATTTTTGTCCAGTCTCTCTATTTCATTCTTATGACTCAGTTATTCAGGGTTTCAGTTTTATTCAATAATAAATATTCTGATCAAATCTTATATTATTCTGAAAACCTATCCAATAGTTCCTAAGTAAAATCAGTTTGACTTGAATACATGATAGTGTTATCTGTGGCCGGGGCAGCAAGCTATCAATAAATTGTGAATGTCCCCTTTACAGCTGTAATTTATTTTTGATATTAGTTAACTTGTGAATATATTCAATACTACTGGAACCAACCAAACTGTAGGGGTATTTCTTGTTGTTGTAACTCACCTAGGTTTTTGGCCTCAGTAGCTAGAGTTAAGCAACATTTGTAAGGATCTCCTACCCCATCTCCTGGTATCCACAGTCCTCCCTGGAATATAGTAACAACTCAACTGTATATTTCCTATGAATTCATAACATCAACATTAAAAAGTTTAACGTGTTAAACTAAATATATACAGTAATTCCTCTTAGATACGACCAATCTATCTGCAATGATAAAAAGGTTATTCAAAGGATCAATAATCAGATAACAAATGACCGAATTCAAGCAGTGCCAGTTGCTATTCCCAGGGGTTTAGCATAATGGTTTATATACTGTATAGGTAGTCAGATAATGTAGCAAATTGGTACACTGTATAATAATAGTAATGATGAATAATAGTACAATAAAGATAACTTAAAATTTTGTTTTATGTAAAATAATTTATTCATTGATCACATTTATTTAATAAACATTCATGTATCACATTTTTATTACATACATATAAAATATTACAAACTGACAAAATTTATTTCATCAAAAATTGCCCATCTTTGTTTGTTTTGCACATTTAACAGAGTCACTTTGAATGTTCATGAGTCTGGCAGTTATTATATCAAGAAGTGTTTCATTGTTAGTTTTCAGTGCACAATTTTAGTATCAATTTATAAAATAATGTGCAATAAATGTCCAGATTTTTACATCAGTGAAACTGGAAGAACCAGATTCACTGAACATAGTAAAAAAACATCCCATATTTACCATCATTGCAACTCAAATAATCCACAGTATATCTATATAAAATGCTGTAATTTTAAACAAAGAATCAAATATCGGAACACATTTATATTAACTAAACAAAACAGCCCCACCTTAAACCAAAATTTCACCTTGAAACTTGGATCCTTTGATCCCAGCTCTGAAAAATAAACCATTCCGCAAATTTAAAAGAACCAGTAAAGAAATAAGAATAAATATCTGAACTAAATTATTGCTAGACTTTAGCCAATACCTAATAAGGTAATCCTCTCTGAATACAAATACTATTTTATAAAACGTAATATGTTGCATTAAAAGAGTTGAAGTTGACTAAAAATTCTTTAATTTCCATGTTTCGTTTATTTTGTTGCTTTTGTCACAACTTTGGTCAATATCAACATCCATGACACATATCTATATCAACACTTTGTGCCTTCTTCTTCTTCACAGTGACTTCCTGTTCTCAGCTTGAGACATTCGCACCTTTCTTGGATGCCTTGAGTCATTTCATCAGCCATGCTTACCGCACAGATTAGTCGAGTCTGTCACTCAACACACTTAGCATCTAGGCCACTAGCTCAAAATCTACTACATTCACTAAAAGAATAAACCATAATTCCGTGAGTAGGGTAAAGACAAAGAACAGTTTCTGTCTGCTCCTGGTTAGCTTTCAGGATCTGATAGTTTTTAAACCAAAATACTTACGTGTAAGCATCAAGAAGTTTGACTTGAACACCCCATAGTAATAAGACACATATACTCAGCTGTGAAGCAATCTCTGGTCATGTGACCTCTATGTTCCACACTGTATAAACTGTATTCATGTGTCTCTGTAAATTACATTATTGATATGAAGAAAAGTCATTATAGAGAGGTTGTTATTTGACTTTCTACTCAAAAATCATGGACATAGCTTGCATCTGTTAGAAAGTCATTCATAGGAGGTCAGATCAATGTTAAATCGTTTTGTGCACATAAAAAATGTTGTATTTAAAAGGAAGTCATTATTGGAAGGGGTCATATCCATCAGAGGCTACTGTATTTGTTTTACTTAATAAATACAGAGTTCATATTTATCTTATAAAGATTACAGTTACTATAAACCTCAAAACAACTCTGTAAACCTTGTGCATAAATATTAAGCATATGCTGGTTAAAAAATAATCAAAACATTTTAGATAGGTGAACTTATATACTGAGTGGACATATAAACATATTTTTTTCTCCTGAAACAACTACAGTGAACTGCTTGCCAGGACTGAAGGATACCTCTAAATCTTCTGTGCTGATGATTGGAGAAATCTTTGCTGCTCCCTGTGGAGTAAGAAGTTCACACTCTATGTTCATGGCTCTAAAAATAATAATAAAGTGCCTACTAAAATTAAGAGAGTGAGTAACATACACAATCGAAAGATATTAAGAAAAACTTTACAAGCAACCTTACATTTTTAAATTTTTTTTACAGATAAATAATCCTCTGTTATAGGTGTTGTTAGAAATTGAGTGAAAAGTGTCATTCAAATCGGAGAAGGGAAGAACCATAAAGAAATATAGTTATTCTTAAGAAGGTGCTCAGAATAAAAAAAAGGTTGGAAACCATTGCACAGCAAACAAAGAAAATATTAATGTATTAAATATGTAATGGTAGTTGATACTAAAACTGAAGACCATTTTGATGTCATTTTACTAAATAAGAGTAGAAACCAATTTAATTCAACAATAAATGTAATTCAAAGCTACACAATTTTGAGAAGAAAGTTATATGGTTATTTAAACAAAACACTGCATCTTTTGAAATTCATTGGCACTTGTGTAATGTTCAATGTTAAAAACTCACAATTTTTAAAAACGATTATTTTTTACATAATTCTAAAAATGAGACTGTTTCCAGTTTCAAAATTACAATAAAATACAAATAACTTACTGTACAAGGTAAAAAATATTAAAAACATATTAAAACTAGAAAACAGTCTCATACACTCTACATGTTTTGACGTATATTACAGCATCATTCTCAGAAGTGTAATGTTTTGCAAAAAATAACACTTATTTAAAACATTACAAGATCACCAATTTATATATTAAAGAATTTCACATCATCTACTGACATTTCCATCAGGCCCATCATCCTCATTCAATATTTTTAATGTACTTTTTTTAACTTCTTTGGCATTTGTGTAATGTTCAATGTTAAAAACTCGCATTTTTTAATTCTCATTTTTAAGGGATAAAAATAGGTGCACAGTTAAGAATTTGTTTAAATTTGTGGAACGAATTGGGCATATAATTTTAGATCAAAAGATATTTTGGTGTCATTTGAAGTTGTGTTCAATGTTAACTAAAGTATCTGTGAAAAAACCTATTGCATGTTTTGTGAAAAAAAACTGAAAGAAAATAATAATTCAGTATTAGAAAGAATGGATATGATTAACTTGGTAGAAGCATGTGTTGAAAACTCTTTTTTTTTCCAAATTAACATCAAAGTTTATAAACAGAACAAAGGTTTAGTTATGGGTTCTCCTTTATCTCCGTTAGTATGTGATTTATTTATGGACAGTTTGGAAAGTGAAGAACTAGATAAAAGCAGATAAAAAAACCTGAAGTTTGGTTGAGGTATGTCGATGAACTTTTTTTATTTGGCGGCATGTAAAGACGTACTAGCTAATTTTTCTAATTACCTTAATAGCATTGATAATTCTATAAGATTTAATTATGAAGTTGAGATAAATAGTTGTTTACCTTTTTTGGATGTTTTAGTGAGTAAAAATAAGGATAAATTGAAAACTACCATTTACCGAAAACCTTTCTCTGTACTTATTCCGCCACATCAACAGTTTAGTCAAGCTAAGTCTCAAACTAGTTTGTTTACTCTTATGTAGATAGGATACTAAAATTATGTTGTAAACAGGATGATATAAAAAATTAGTTATTATTAATTAAGCACATAGCTTCTCATTTTTAAGAGATAAAAATAAATACACAGTTAAGAATTTATGGAAAGAATTGAGCATATAATTTTAGATCAATAAGATATTTTGGTGTCATTTGACATTGTGTCAATGTTCACCAAAGTACCTGAGAAAAAGGCTATTGCATGTATTGAGAAAAACATAGCAGTCAAAAAAACTAAAAAACAGGGATAAAAATAGTAAGTCAAAACCATTTGCTGAAAAAAGTAAAAAATGATGTTTGGTACTATGATTTATACTGGGCTTATCTTGTCAAATAATGAACACATTTAAAAAACAAATAAATATTTTTCCAATATAAAAAACGATAAGCAAAGTTAACCAAATTCTTAATACAACTTAAAATAAAATTGATTTAATGGAAATATTTGGTATATATAAAATTTTATGTGAATTTAAAACTTCATAATCAAATCCAATAGAATTATCAATGCTATTAAGGTAATTAGCAAAAAGAGCTAAATTGTCTTTACCATGCTGCAAAATCAAAAATGTGTCATCAACATTCTTTAATATGTAAATTGGTGATCTTGTAATGGTATAAATAAATGTTATTTTTTGTAAAACATTACACTCCTGAGGATGATGCAGTAATATACATCAAAACATGTAGAGTGTATGAGAATGTTTTATTATATTTTACCCTATACAGTAAGTTATTTGTATTGTATTTTATTATAATTTTGAGACTGGAAACAGTCTCATTTTTAGAACTGTTTAAAAAAGAATCATTGTTTTTTAAAATTGTGAATATTACATCATTATAAACTCTGAAAAATAAGAAAAGGAAAGAAAAAATCAGCAACTACTGATATATAGGAAATTCCACTGGGGTAACACATACATTCTGATATATACAAAATAAAATATACCATGTTTAAAAGATTAACTCACTCAGCAGAAGCAGCAAGTCTTTTAAATGATATCATTCTATCTTTGGTTCTGGCAAGGAGAAGACTTCCGCATCCTTTCCATCCTGTCAAAAGGAAGCAGAAAACTATTTTAATTTGGATCATTGTTCTTATCAAAAAAGTTTCTAGTACTTTCACCCCACTGTAACAAATAAAAAAAAAAATGAACAGATTTTGACCTAGCAAACATCCACATGCATTTATACTATAAAAATGCATATCACTAGCTTGACAACCTGTAGACAGATTCACATTTAATTTCAAAGCTAATTAAAAACATATATATTCTTTTAAATAACACTCTTACCAAATGAAAAATTAAATGTTAAACAACTTTTTCTAATTCTAATTATTATTTTTATTATGTGCTACTAACCACCATAATAACCAATATCTCATGATCACACACTTTCCATAAGCACTTAAGTTTGAGTTGTTGTAGTCTTCAAATCCCAAAGTGTCTACAGCTTGTTCTATATAGTTTTATCTATCAAAGCTGGTTGATGAAGCTGATGATCACTTGCATGTGTTCTGAATTTTTCGTATTGTTTTGACCAAGCAGTATAAATAAATTGTCTGATAGTTTGATGAAAAGTCTAAGTATTTAAAGCACATGATTTCTTTTGTGTGATTATTCCATTGTCAACTTTTTGCATGAATGAACCACAAAAAAGAATTTTTTGTTAACAACTGTTGAATCAAAGAATACCATTGGATTAATGTTGTTCAATCTCTCAAACTTCAAATTCTTTACCATGTGCTGGCTATGATATGAAGACAGTCTTTTGGACATTCATAGGATATAGAGTGGGTTTCCTGTACAGTGTTTTCGTTTGTTTGTATATATGTATATGTGTACATATGCATATATTAGACATAATCAAACAGATTAGATCACCTTAGGTCTACAGTTGTATCACCTTGAGTTCCATTCAAAATATGTCGACTTAACCCTCTCACTACAGTTATGTCAAAGAGTGCATGTCATGACTCTTTAGAGAGTCACAATAAAGAGTTAGTTAAACTATTTTATTATCATTGTATATCAAAAACTTTTCATCAAACATAGTTGCTAAATCAAATTTTGAGTTCTTAGTTTTATAAGGATACATTTTCAAAAATCCTCAATCTCCCCTAGTATGAAAATTGTGGCTTCCTCATTAGTATAAAAAAATGGGCTGAAATTTCATCAACAACTGACAGCAAAAAAACAAGAGGTTACAGGTAATATATTTCTCGTCCTTCGTGTATATTCTTCATTTATTATTATAAAAGTAACTAAAATGTAAATATTAGAATCTTATTAGGTTAGATAATGAAAAATAATAGTAATAACAAAAATTCTTCACAATATATGCTTGCAAGCAGTATGTGCCTCACATCATTCAATACAATAATGTGAGATACGTTCATGAAGTTATTTACAGCTTGTGTGGCAGGATCATTAGTTAAACAAGGGGCAAAGTACAATACAACAGTAAAATTAAGTATAAACACATGTAGACTGTTCAACTTTAAGCCATTTAGATAAACAGTTGTAGTTTCATTTTACAATTTGCAGCCATTTTACCAAGAAAAAAGGATAATTTAGATTTCACCTGTTTGTTTTAGAGCAAAGCCACATAGGGCTATCTGCTCTGTCTATTTAAGAGGTTTTAGAGATCATGCAAATGAAATATGACAAGTTATAGAGGAAGAAATGTATTTTTTATTCTTAACATGAAAATCAGATTGCACCTGAAGCAGTCAACACTCTGGCTCCATATATTCATGGACAAATTTTCAGTAGAAGTATTTAATTTAAAAAAAAAAAGATGTTTGTGAATGAAAAGACTTGTAATGTTTACTGAAAGCTTGCCACATTTAGTGAAGATATATAAAACATATTAAAAGTTATAGTATGAAAACTGATTGTTACTTTAGGTTACAGGGTCAGTCACATTGACTGAAGCTGTAGCAAGAGGGTTAAATAAATATTTCAAAATGTTCTTATATGAAAATTAGGATATACTTTTTTACAATATTTATTCATGATCACTTTGATAGCCTCATTTACAGCAGTCATATAAAATTAGTTGAAAATCACTAGCTGATCACAGTCATCCAGAAGAAGGTCAGATGACAGTTTCAGAAAATTTATTTGTCGTGCCACATAATTGTAATGATATATATATATATATATATATAATGTGGTAAAAAACAAAACAGTCAGTACTACAGGTAGTTTTTATCATGATCAGTAAGGTACTGATCAAATATTGCCTCTATCAGTATCTGCCAAAGGTGGTCAGTAATTCAGTACAATGGACTAGTGTCTGTATGTTAGTTTAAATAGATTCAATCATTTATATTAAAAGAGTTTGAATGTGTCAATATTATCTTAATGTGTATTTAGCCTCAATAAAGTATTATAAAAATACATACAATTTTCACATTTATTTATTTTAAATTTTCTGTTTGTATGGTTGTGAAAATCTTACACTTCTTCTGTTCTTAACACTGTCCCACATTTTATTTGCAGGACTGAGATCATACAATGAAAATTCTGAGTCTAACATTACAATTCTCATTAAACGGTTTATCTTTTTAATCTTCATAAAGCACCCAAATTTTGTCATAAGCCTGTTTTGTACAGAAAAGGTTCTTTCTCAATCAAATAAAGCTATTTGACACAATATTGACATGTTAGGAAATTGATCATTATTTAATAACTCTTTCATACAAATGTTCAAGTTTTTGAGTTTTTATACATGCTTTTGAACCTAGGCCATTCATTTTTACCAAATCATTTTTGTTAAGCAGAGGCATCACTTCAATTTCAGTATTTTTCCCAGCATCATTAAAACTTTTGGTGAGTTTATTGGTTCCATAAAAATGTACAAGACCACTGATAGCCCCATTTGGTATACCTTCATCAAAAAATAAAAGGTTCAAGTATGTATACCAGATTATAGATGGAGTTTCTTGTTGAATCTTGTTCAAGTGGTTTAATGTTTTTGATGACATCAACACACCCCAGTGCAAATCTGTGAGCTATGCATGTGTATGTGACAAATGGGGAACTTAGATTTTATTTGCACACCTACACCATCTCTGACCTACCATAGTAGCAGCTCTATCTGTACATAAGATTACCATTTTTTTCATGTCTACTTCTGATTTATCACAGGTATCTTTCAAATATTGTGCAATTGCACGGGTGTTGCCATCATCAAGCTTCAAACTCTCTAGGTAGGATGTCTTAACATTACCTTCACGCACATATTTACACAAATGATTAGCTTTTTTTCAAGTCCTAGATCACATGACTCATCTATCACAACACCACAAAAGTCATATCTTCAGAGACATTTTACAATGTTATTACATAAACAGTTTGATATGATCTTTCACATTTCATTGACTGAGGTCCAACTTAAATTTTCAAACCATTCAAGGATTGAAAAGCTAGTCTAACTATGGTTTCACTTAGAAGATCTGACTTTAAAGAAAAATAAAATGGATGGAATATTAATTTAAATATCAGACTCATTCACTTTATGCTCAAATGTACAGCACTCATCATCAAGTTCACCATCACTATCACTGTACTCCACACTTTCAGTTTTCCTTTTTACAATCCTACTTACTGCATTAAAATGATCACCACTGTCATTGTGACTTTTAATTGTAGAAATCTGAATATTAAGAGAATCAGTAGTACCCATCACATTCTTCTTTCCAACAACTTTTCAAATAATTTCTAGCCATAGGTACTATTTTATCCAACCTTTAATTGTACTGTCAAGGACTTTACCATCACCTGAAAAAAGTTACCAAACTATATACGCACGTCGTGACAGAGCTTATTTCTTGACATTTCCTAATTTAATCTGTAGTGATAGGATTTTTTATAATGCTGGCAATTTATTGCTGCTCCAAATGTTCATGGGTTAGACCAATGATTACAACTTACATTATTATACAATTAATATTACATTATTATAGACATAACACAGTGTTCCTTTACTAATTGACTTGCAATGTTATTTCCTAACTGCCACTCACGTCTCACCCCATTGATTAATTTATTTTCTCTCTCTACATATATGTATATTAGTATTTCACATATGTAAAGCATCATAAAGACAGTATTCAACAGTCTGTTATACATTTCATGATAAGGGAAAGAAACAGGACTTTATTGAAAGCCTATTTATCATCATATGCCAATTATACACTTGGCACTTAATTGTCTTTTTTTTTCTTGTAAAAGTCATTACAGATGGATTCAATTAACTTAGAACACCCTTTGACAAGACAAATTATTTACCTTACTCTGTTATCACAATATAATTACTGATAAGTTCACTTACTTTGCCCTATGGGGTTACTACAGTTGTATACAGAACTTTAAATAATTATCTTTTATGTCAAAAGTCCACACAGGCTGGTTCAGTTACCTTAGATCCCAATTTACAAGACAAATACTTCTTCTCTACTCTGTTTATTACAATACAATCTGCAATTATAACACCTTAAAAGTTGCCACTATACACTCTTTATGACTAAACTAACAAACACAGTCTAGATCTATATCTCTCACTAACTTAACTTCCTTCTTTCTGTATCTGCATGTATTTATAATACACGACAGAAAAATCTAGAAATATCTAGCTCTCTAGAGACAACAGTATACTCATAACAAGAAAACTTAGAAGCTTTGAGTAAGATGACATCACCAATATTACAAAAGTCTAGTACAACAATTAAAGTATATACACAATGTAAAACTCATACATAGTTATATAATGAAGCTTGTCATAACTATCGCGTTTAACATATTTTTATTTTTTTGCACCTCTGGATGTATGCAAATGGTTGATGGTCCATCTGGATGATGAGCTCCTTCCCATATAAGTACTTCTGGGATGATATGAAAAACTTCTGATTTCAATTTACATTTGTTCACAAAATTTAAAATTTTACTCTTGTTATGGCTAATCATGGTGAAAAATTAAAACTAAACTTAAAAGAACTGGAAATTGAGTACAGAGCCATAACAGCTCTTTAAGAGAGGGGAAAACTCATAAGAAAATTCAAACTGATTCCAACATGAAATACAATTTATTGAGAGGATGGATAAAAAATTTGGCCAAAGATATGGAAGTATATGATTATATTTTAATTTAGCTGTTGGAAAACTTAAGAAAAGGATCCTTAACAAAGGATACAGTGACTGCATTTCTGAATGAGATTTTATATTACTTGAAGTAATTAGTCAAAAAGTCTGATTACTATCTCTCAGCATGTTGCATTAATGAGAGCATGCAACAACTTATTAAAACATAATTTTTTTTTTCTATGAATAACAGTATATAAATAAGTATTTGAAAGTTGAAGAACAAAATGTTATATAAAATTCTAAGTTTTTCAAATGTAGATCTAGTTAAGTTAACACATCTTTGCAGCCTTTGTGTGGGGAGGATGGAAAGATGTATTTTGTTCCATGCGACTTGTCACCATCTTGAAACAGCAATTTCGAGAACCTGTTATGCCAACAAACTTTAACTGGGCCCAACAGCATTGACATAAATGAGTAGCACAGTATAACCTAATAAGTGTTTCATTGTTACACATTAGTTACTTTTGTGAGAAAAAAATATATTAATAAATAAAAACATATACATGAAAACAAGAAATTTCTCCCATTGCTTACAGATCTAGACAGACTCAAGAAAAGTACTCTTAGCATACTTTACTAAGTACTTTTTCACACTTTGTTGATTGTCCAAAAAAAAATAATTCATGTAACTTTCAAATATGTATTTTAAAACACAAATAATAATTCAACCAACATAAAAGAATTTCCCAAAACTACTATTATTGACCTGGTTTTTTACCTGGCCTATAAATAAGTTAAACATTTCACTACTTACTGGAGCACCAACTTCAGTCTACACTCAATAAAAACTACTTGGGGAAATGGCAGCTTTTACCAAAATTAACATAACGTCATCATAATCACATGTTCACAAAACGTCCTTCCTATTGGTTATAGAAATGTATCATTGACAAGTAAACATGAGTATACCAGTAATTTCAAAGGGCAGAAGGTGCTTTTGTGGTGGGTGTAATAAATTTATTGATACCTCAGAAAATAAAGAAGGTGGGAGGTACTTATTTTAAATTCTGTCCTTCTTATGTCATTTGTTTTTAAATGGTGAACATTCTGAAGCCCATATAAGGGAAGAAAGAAAGTTTTAAAAAAAAACAATTTCATAGCAGAGAAGCATCAGATGACACAAAGAAGCGAAAACTGAGAATTTATTCAACTATTTCTTTTTTAAATTAAGAAATCAAAAGTTATATAATATTGAAATTTAAGTAATAAACTATGTTTTGATGCCGAATTCATGGATGTAACAACAATAAATAAAATTTGATTTTAGCCATTCCAATTTCTCAGTCGCCAGGTGGCAGTATGTTGTGTAGATTCAGTTATCACTCAATCATGTGTTTGATAATTTTGGTTTGAAAAGCTTGTGATTAGTTGTTTAATTGTTTGTCACAATTTCTAAGTTCCAGTTTCCACATAGTTTGGTAAATAAGCTTTATTCTTGCATGGATAAGTTTCATTTCTTTAATGTTTACCTACTAGCTAGATTTATGTGTTATAGTTGTCAACAGGATCGTTTTTATTTGTTACTTACTTGCATTTGTAGATAACTGTAACTGAAGAGCAATAAAGAATAAAGTGCGACAAAGGGCGTATCTGTCATTTATGTAAAAGTGTAATTTACAATGGATAATAAATGTGTTTAATTAATATTTGAATGTAACTCTGTAAAAGGTTGTGACTTGCATACTTTGATCCTACCTGTGCACATAGGTTTAACCTCTAATCCTTTCTGGGGGTGACTGGTATCCCTTGACACCACTATCTTATCAATATGGTAATACTTAACCAAATTGCAAGAAACATAGAACAAGCTTGCTGAATGGTATCTAGCTTTGGCTTAAAAATTCAAATAATTTGATTCTTTCTCTCATATTTACATTAAGAAACTTCCAAACTTTTGTTGCGAGACATTATTTTGAAATCAAATTAAAAATAGTTAAAAATTTAACTTTTTCTTTATTGTTGATCAGAAAATTCTATTTTACAGATTCAACCACTTTCAGCTTCATTAATATTCATTCACATATCTGATCATTTATTTTGCTAATTTCAATAGTCACTATTTCAGATATAAATAAAAAAAACAAAAACGACAGAAAATAAAGATTTACTGGTGACTACAACTGACCTATCATTTTCAATACAATAAGTTTAACAATAATATTCAATAAACAAGGATTTGATACACACAAGTGACTGGAAACTTTGTATTAGTCTACCAATCATAATAATATTTATCTGCTGTCTTGACAAAGAAGACAATTTCAGTTGCTTTAAAAGACATAATTTAACTCAAAAAAAAAAATTCCAAGAATGAAAAGAGCATTCAAAGAAACTATAAAAAAATTATTAAGGCTGTAATTTATTCCTAAGTCTTCTATATTTTCAACTACATTCCACTGTTGTTCTCTGAGCAAGCTAAATCATGTCACTTTCTCATAAAACCACTATCTGTATTCAAACTTTGCATGTAGCTATTTTGAAAGCTGAGTTTCACTAGTCATTATTCAATTGCATGCTAAAAAGTTGTAACTGGGTGGGAACTGAGAGGCTTTACTAATAACATTCTAAAAATGAGAAGAAAATCAAGGTATGACAGTTTCTTAGCAAACATAAACCTATGTTTTGGGATGGAGAAACAATTTCTAAAACATCAATATGTGCATCCTTTACAGGCAACAATCCTCATTTGATTTTTTTATTATACCTTGCAAATAAATAAATGTTACAAAATTAAAACTTATCAATTTAAAATATCTTTGAGTAAAAACTCTTGAAATAGTTAGATTTATTATTTTTACTTAAATTTTTAAGTTTGATATGCACCTCACTAAAGAGACTGGTTTAGCCATAGCTCTCATGAAAAACTGTGTATTTTAGCAGACTTGGTAGGATGCAATGTATCTTTCAAGTCTAAGAATGTCAATCGTCAAAAACTGAGTCAACATGTATATTATGGTAAAGGCAGGTGTTATTACGCAAAAGAACGAATACGAGATAATTCCACTATGTGGCAGCACAAATATAGTCAGGAGTTGATGCTATAATGTGTTTCATTCTGCAGGATTTAAAGGTCAATACATTTACCAATTTTTATTCCTCCTCGTATCAAACATTTATTACTGACATATGCAGACTAATAATACAGTATGGGACCAAAGTATAACTTTAGATGAAGATTAACCTTAGAAATACAAACAACTGTAACTTAACATGCAAAGGTAATTTATGAATAATATTATCACAAGATATCAAATGCCTTCACATTTAAGCTAAAAATATCAATAAAAATTTACTAGTATTAAGCCTGTTCTCAAGGTCTTTATAAGTCTAATTTCTGTATGAAAATGTGAGTAGATCCCTTAAAATGAGTGTATTTGACTGATGGTTGAATTCTCATGTTTTTGGCTAACTGTTCTGTGCCTTTATAAGCAAAATGCACATCACTTTGCTTATAGTACACAGGTCAGCATAGTAAATTATGTTTCTAACCATCTATACAGTGTGACTGTCTGATCCAGCTTTGAAGCAGGTACTCTGCAACTGTAGTTAGCCAGAATCAACGGATAGTGATTTATTTACTTGGGTTGTGAATGACTGTCTGCCTTGTCCAGATGTCTTAGTGAATATACATACCTTGGATTTGCTTCAAAGATGCTGATTACCAATCCCCAATAATTCTAGCATCTTTTAATATTCATACATCATTCACTGAAGAAAAGTTGTTCATTTGCTTAATGGTTAATAAATTATGCTGACTAAATACATAATTTGGAGTTAAAATATCTTCAGAAAAAATATTTTCTGAAATTAAAAGTGCCAAAAATACAAATGCAGAAGAAATTTATTGAAAAATGTACCTTAACAAATCAAATACTTTTACATTCAAAATATTACTATAGATTTACCAGTACTCAGTCCTCTGTTCTCAAGGTCCTTATAAAGTCCAATACTGTACTGACACATCTTTGTTTCAATAGTTGTTGGTTTGATCTGCCCAAGAAGACCTGCACCATGCCATGTTGTTCCTCCTCCAAGACTACAAATACATCAAAATTATGATGTTATACTACATGTAAAAAATCTAGTATCATGTGACTTTTCCCTTAAACTACACAAAGAACATTAAACATCACATTCTCTTCATGAAAAATGGTTATTCAAATGGCATTTGTTGAAAGCCAGAACTTAAACATATAGCCAAAATAAGTGCACAGTACATCAGGATAAAGACAGTGTGCAAATTAATGCAACAAAAACTTAAGGAGAGAAAGAAACTCTCTTTATGATCATTATACAAATAAGGGAAATAACATTCAAATTAAGGATGATTACTGAAAGAAATGATATAGTCAATCTCAAGTACCTTTAGATTAAAATAAACATGCAAGACATAGAGCCAGAGGTCTCCATGATGAGAGGTGATAAGACATTAATAATCATATGTTAGAATAGGGCCAATAAAGAGAATGAAAAGGAAGGAACTGCTAGATATACCACAAACTGAAAGTTAGCCAAGTGGAGAAACTGAAAAAGCTTGTGAATAAAAGAAGAGAGAAACCACTGAAACAAAATAAAAAGGAAGAGTTAATGTTCAAAACAATGAAAACACAGTTAGTGATTTTAAATTTTAAACTAGAAAAAGTAAATAAGTTATAGTGTATGTATGTGTGTGCATAATTGAAAAGAAAATGCAAAAGTGTGTTTTGACAGAAGACTTACATGTGACTTGATGAAACCAGACATGTGAGTGGGCCATGGGCAAATCTGAGAAAAATCAGCCTTGAATATGGGGGTCTATCAAACATACCCCCTATGCAACTCAAAGGCTATCTATGCCAGCTAGCTATCTCTAATCTTGAAATGATATGCTAGAGGGAAGGTGGCTAGTCAACATCACCCACAGTCATCTCTTGGGCCACTCTTTACCAATAAATAGTGCAATTGACAGTGACATTATAATGCCCCATAGATGAAAAGGTGAGCACATGTGGTGATGGGACTGGATCCCATGACTCAAAAAATGCAAAGTCAATTGCCCTAACTACCAAGCCATGCCAGGCCCCAAGATATCAGTTACAAATGAATTTAGCAGACTGGTATAACAAACCAAGGCAACTGTGAAATTTGTTTAAATAAACTTGTCCTATGTATAGAATCTATATGGTGACAGTTTTTATTTCACATATTGGTGCAAATGTTAAATGAGTCAATCTTTAAGTTGATAAAAGTTATATAGTAAAGAGAACTAAGGAAAAAAACAAGAAAATTATATGTTACAGATTTATTCACGATTATTCATGGTTGTGAATAAAGTATGTATTTGTGCAACGTACAATTAATTGTCTTGTTTCCTCAATTCTGTAATTATGGAGTTTCACCACATAACGATGGTTTCAAGTATCAATTATATAATAAAATTAGTTATACCATGCAGTTTTCTGTCTGGTTAGAAAGTTCAGTGTTATGTTGCATGGCAGTGGTAAAATTTAATTTTTAAAGTTAAAAGCATAGGTTTTTCACTTGCCCGTGAAACATGGGTTGTTGTTGCATTATAAAAATTGCATATTGCAAATGTATAGCATTTTGAAAAAATTGTAGGACAATATATGATTTTATATATATAGTAATTTTTAACTCAAAAATATTTTTGGATTTATATTTTGTAACTTTATAACATTTATTTAGTGCAATTCTCAAAGAAAAATGGAAAAGCTATAAGAAGTCTCATCTGTAAACAACACCTCAAACTTCTTTTATAATTTTTCTGACCATCCCAAAGTACAAGTTCTTATTCACTTAGAAGCTATCTTCCATTCAGAATACAATTATCCATGTCTTGTTTCTCATGTCGTTCGCATATTCTGTTTGTGAATTTATTACTTATGGCTTCATTCCCATGAATGATGCATTGTATCCTGCCAAATGATTACAGACAGCAAAAACACTTTTTTCTTTTTTTTTAATATAAGAATGGTCAAGAATACCTCTGGAGCTAATCAACACAGAACCAAGCTCCCCTGTTACTAACAGAGACCACTCTCCATACTTAGGTGAAAATCAGTTAACTCTTTCTGGATTGATTAGCATTTTTCAACTGCTCAGTGCACACTTGCATACCAAGCTTCAAAATTTAAGTAAAAAATAATAATTTTAACGACTTCAACAATGTTTTACTCAAAATATTGTAGAGTTGATATTTTGTCATTTTGTACCATTTATTTGATATAGTTTGAACAAAAAAAAAAGTTCAAGTGAGGAGACATTACTGTAAAGAACACATCTATTGCTCATTTAGGATTTTTCTGTCTATCCCAAAGCACAAGTTCATAATTGTTAAGAAATTGTCATTTCTTGATTTTCCTTCTCTTTCTCTGAAATTTATCAATGCAGCCTCTCAAGATTAATCGGACAATTTATACATATATTAAAATGATTTTGAAAATACAAATAATCAAATCAAATGACAACCACATCCAATATAAAGTCATAGTGGAACAGCATGTATCAATCTTTGGAAGGATATGTAACAGCTGTTCCAATGCAAAATATTCATACAATTAGATCATAAAGGTGTATTCAGATCAGTAACCCTTGTACTTAATGGTATTGGGAAACAAAGGAAAATGGATCAACGTGAGACACCAGAACTTTTCAGAAATAGACATGCAGCAAGTCATACTACAGCTGTGGTAAACAAAGTGCAGCATTTTGTAATAGATGAGAATCCATGAACACAAAGCTCAGTAGCAAAAGTTATTTATATGACCCAGGCAACAGTACATAACATAATCAAGAAGGATCTTTATCTGGAAAACTAGCATAAATGGATACAAACTGCTTCCACAACATATCTGTTCAAATGTCACATACCTCAAGTAGCTGCAAAATGAAATTGGCATTCATGGTATTCCATATGAAGACACCCCATTCAAGTTGCCAGACACAGTGCTAGTGGGTTTCAGTGAGGTCAGGCTGTTAATTCTCTCAACCCGGGGTTGATCTATTTGACCAGCCATGTGACCTTTTTGTACGTTCAATATGGTGTGTATATCTTCACAAAATTTGGCAGTCTTTCAGTTAACATTATTAGTCTATCACATACAAAAAATCGAATTTTTAGTGGACTATGTTTAATAAAATAAAATAAAAATTTGTCCATGAATACATTAAGTATTTGTCTTGAATAGTCTGTGTGTTAAGTAATTTTCATGTTAAGATTTAAAATACTTTTCCTCATCTCAAAAATCTCAAATTTCCTTTGTGTAATCCCTAAAACCTCCTAAATACATTTCAAATGCTTTTATCTGTTATTTTCTTTACCCATCTCAAAATGGGAATGGTCAATTTGACTTTTTTAAGGGGTGGTGGATAAAAATAAAGACAAGATGACCAGAGAAAATATATCATATGTGTTACACTATGGCAAATTCAGTATTTTTGTTAATATTACCTTGTAGAATTATGAACTTAGAACTTATGTAATATTAAAATATGGATTATTAAAAATGATTTTATGCTATACTAATTGGTAAGTAGTTTAATAACATTTTGAATGTAAGACACTAAAACTTTTTGTCATGCGAAGTAAAGGATACCCAGGGCAAAAAGATTAAAAAGGGCACTGGAATACTGTCACCTTGTACACCAGAGAGATAGAGAGAGAGAGAGAGAGAGTGTTTGGACATTTAGGTAACCATGTGTGACTAAGACAAGCAAAATCAAACCAGCTGACTATATTTATGAATGGGTTAAATTGTTATTCACATGCAATAATGACTATATTGTTTATATCATCAGAATAAAGGCACTGACTGTCACTACCAACTGCCACTATGTCTCTCAGTTCCCAGAAAAATCAACTGTGAAGAGCAGGAAATTAATAGTATAAAATTAAATGTACATCATTAATTTCTACAGTTGTTTTTTTTTTGTTGTTGTTGGAGATAAACAGTTAGAATCAACCAGCAAAAATTGGAACATCAACTCTTTTCATACCTCAAAATACTATCCTGGCAGGGTAAAACCAGTATCCTAAAGAAAAAGTGTTCTCCAACTTTAGGTTTGTGAAAGAATGAATAAGAGTAAATACAGATATAGCTGTAAGTAAACTATGTACTAGTCAAATAGATATAAGGTATAAATAAGAGTATGTTTATTGAGCTTAGAAATGGTTATGGGAGGTGAATATATTAAAACTGAATTAGAAGAAAACATGAAACCCCGTAATAAAATATTGCCATCACTTTCACCCATGCATATAGTCACATCTGTTAGACAAAGTACATAAACAGGGCTAACCAGTAATGTCCCACAATTTCATGCTAAAATTAACAAAAGCATAATGTTTCTTCGATGAAACAGACAAAGCAGCTAGGATATCAAACTAGTCAGACTCAAAAAATTAACTAGGTATAAATGATCAATCATCTAAAGCTCTTCAATTTCTTAAAGCATAGTCATTTTTGCTAATGATTATCCTGATACTGCATATTACAGAGAACTTCCCAAAGGTACACTAAAAGCTGTTTGCTGAAAGAGAAAAACAAAAAACAACAACAACATTACAGCTGTGGAATATTAAAGCATATTGCAGTCCTAAAATTATTATCAAAAGCATACATATGAACTGTCAGAAGTGTAAGGAGACATGGAACTCACAAAATAAGATCTAATATATGGTTAAGACAATTTCTAAAAACATAGCATCCTTCAGGGTTACAGGTAGAAAGTCATCTAGGCAGTAAACACAAAACATCACAAAAAAACTTGGTGTCAGTCATATTCCACCTAAAGTTAGATTAAGAATTAAAGGAATAGACTGTGATTTAGTAGTTGACACTGGGGCAAAATCTTTATTGTTGAGCATGATTTACTAAAACATTATCCAAACTTATTAGATAATGCTTGGTGGCAAGCCTCTAATAGCTTTTAAACTTCCATGGTGGGTCATGCTGTCAAAATAGTAGGAAAATATTAGGTACAGGTACAAATAGGTGACCTAACTATAGAACACCCTTTCTCTCTGTGTGATAAATA